AAAAGAGAAAAAGGATTCGTCTTGCATGATTTCGATTCTCTGAAATGTGCTGAGGCTCGTACGTTGTGATGCAAGCCCTGGTGTGTGTGGGCCAGGGGCGTCGATGCCCCGTGCCCCCGAGGGACAGGTGCTCTGTGTGCCGTGCTGAGCGTGGTGTTCCGTGGATATGCCCTCAGTCATTCCTACTCACATCTGTATCTGTGTTTGCTCTGTCTCCCTGTCCCTGCCGTTACTGCGGGGATGGCAGGTCCCCGTGTGGACATGACCTTATGTGGAACAGTTGTCTTTGTGGATGGGAGTGCATTGGGCATCCTGGGGGTGGGGCGGGTGTTCCTGGATGACTCGCTAGGCTCTAAACGGAACTGCAAGGGCCTGTAGAATGGAAAAGCAGTGGGATATTTGACACAAAAGGAAGAATTTGTCTGTGGCGGGGGGGGTTTGACGACGCTTTGCTCCTGGCTTGAAGGAGGAGAAAGGGCCACAAAGGCAGAAATGCCGCTCTAGAAGCAGGTAAGGAAACGGATCCTCCCGGGAGCCTCTGGAGGGAGCGTGGCTCTGCTGGCCCCTTGGCCAGAGACCGACCTCGGACTTCTGACCTCCAGAGGTGGGCAGAGGTGCCCGAGGCGGAGGCCAGGGGTCGCCCGGTGGATGCAGAGCCCGTGGCCTCCAGCGCCCAGCATCCTCCATGCAGGGTGGGAGCATCTGCTCGGGCCCAGCCTCTGTGGGGCTTCCGGTCCCCACCCCCTCCTTGCCTATGGGTCCCCGTCCCCACCCCCACCTTGTTCTTGCTCGTGGTCCCAGGGGTGCCCTGAGCCCTGCATGGACCCCTGGGGCCCGGATGGCAGGAGGCGGGTCCAGAGAGCCCTTCCTAGGCCTGGGGTTCCCCAGTGGCTCCAGCTACCCCTGGGGCGGGTTCAGCATCCATGCTGAGCTCAGCACCAGTGGGGAGTGTGTTGACTTCTTCGTCTTGAAGAGCGATAGCTGGTGCCCCGTCCCTGTGGGGCAGAGCTCTGCGGGGGACACCGAGTGCTTCGTCCTGCCCCATACCCAGCATGTTGTGTTCCTGCTCCGGAATCCGTGAGCACTCCGGGCAGCTGGGCATGAACGGCAGGCTGGCAGCCATGGAATGTGTAGGGAAACAGAGTCAGGGAGCTCTTCCAACCTGGCTCCCGGTGTGGGAGGGGCTGTGAGCGGTGGGAAAGGGACTCGGGACCAGGGACATGGCAGCAGGGCGGGCTGTCATTGGTGGTGGGGCCAGCCAGGTGCTTGCCCCACCCTAGATCACAGACCAACCACCCGTTCACCCTCCACAGTCTTCTCAAGGGCCCAGGGGAGCTCCCCGTCTAGTTCACTCTTTCCTGCCCAGGATGCTGTTCCTGGCCCGACTCGGTACATTTCCCCCGAGCTGTCCCCAGGGGCTCTGGGATTGTTGTGGGTCACCCCCACCCCTTCCCATTCTCCGGCTTCCCGGGAGCAAAGCCCTTCACTCTCCTTGACCGTGTCCACACAAGTGAGCCTCACACCTCAGTGCCCCCACCCTTGATCACTGGCATGATTTGGGGGCTGCGTCCGGCCTCCTCTCCCACCGTGGTCCAAGCTGTACGTGGCCTGGCATCCTTTGGGTGCGCGTGGGTAGCCTTGGCCCTGTGCAGATGGATGTGTTTGTTGTCAGTCCCTCGAGGGAGGAGTTAGCAGACACCCTGCCTGGGCATCGGTCCCAACGTCCCCAATACTTGTTTGGTGATATTCCTGGACCCGGCGTGCGGGTCCACCTGACCTCCTCCGGCCTTGGCCTTGGCCTGCTTTCGGGGAGAAGCCCGAGGCCCTCCTAGTGCCTCACCACTGCCAGGCCCCACCAGCGCGTCCTGTTTCTGAAGCTCTGGTCACAGTTCGTGGTGCCTTATATGTGACAAATGATAAAAAAAGATCGTTAATGCAAAGTGAGTGGCCGTGTCTCATCTTTGATTTGGTTTCATGTTTGTCTTGTCATAACTTTCTCGCATCTGCGTCCTTGCTGCCCTGGTTTTTCCTGCCGGCTGAGACCCTCCTCCGGCCCCGTGGGGCTGCGGTCCCTCCTGAGCTCCCTCTGGGCAGCTCGTCTCCTGGACGGGCAGCGCGGGGCTGTCTTCGGGTCTCGGCCCATCTCAGAGCTCTCAGCCTTGTCTCCCTGCGCACCGTCCTCTCTTTCCTTTGCCCTGGTCTTCATTTGCCTGAACCTTCTCAAGCGACGGCGAGAGCTCCCTGGAATCGCTTTGGCTTCTCTAAGTGGAGGCCATTCTGTAGGACCGTTTCCCCTTTTGGGCAGGGCTTCTGGCTCAAAGAACATGCCTGTGTCCAACTCGGCAGCTGCCGTTCATTCTGAATACTGTAAATTGCTGTTGAGTTTTCCTTAATTTTTGTCGAGCTGATGGTAGACAAATAGCTTGCCTTATTGCTTTAATTAGTGTTTCTCTGCTAGGGAGCTTAAGCGTATGTGTATTTTTATTGGCTATTTGAATTTTTTCTTTGGTGAATTGCTTCTCTGTAGTCTTTGTGCGCTGCTTTGGGAGCTGGCCCGTGGTGTGGTCCCGAAGCAGAGTCCACAGGGAGGACTTTGTCAGAGCTGCGGGGTGGAGGGACCACCGGGATTGCTCATCCTGATGGCCTGGCCCCTGGGTGCCCACGCAGGAAGGCAGCCGGGCAGCCTTTGCCATGTGCTCTGAGGGGATTGCCCCAGCGTCCCAGCAGAGGGGGGAGCCCTCACTTTCTCCTGAGCTGGAGCCCCTCCTTGTGCATCTCCCGGCAGTATCCCCAGGGGGCCCGTTGGCCCCACTCCAACCAGGAGCGTGGACTTAGGAGCTTGCCCTCATTCTTGCTCATGGAGGGGCCCTCCAGATTTTTCCTCTCCCTTGATGAGAGGAGCCCCCATCTTCCACCCATCGGACCTGGGGCAGGCACTGTGACCGGGGCCCTGGTTGGGCCCTGGGGGTCAGGGTGTTTGGGGGATGGTGGTGTAGGCACATCACTAGGAGGAGGCATGAGACAGAGGTTGCAGCCCGTGTGGTGTGGACCCAGTCGGGACTCGTGCCTCCATCCCCCACCCACCAAGCACGTCCTCATGAGGACCACCCTCTCTTATCTTAGATCGTGGGCTTTGGGTGAAGCCACCCCCACCCCTGACTCTAGGGAAGACACGTGACTCAGGCCTGGCCACTGAGAAGCATAAGAGCATCACCTCTCTCCATTTGGAGATGAACACAGGAGGGGCCAGGACCTGGGCAGGCCCGTGGGCTGCAGGGCGGAGGCCTCTGCAGGGACTTTGGAGAGAAGTATGAGCTCGTTACGCTGTATCTCGAGGAAGAGGGAGGTGGTCTGTGGCTGCTGGCAGCCGTGTGGGCAGCCGGAGAATGGAGCCAACAAGGAAAGAAAGAAGAGGCAAGAGACAGAAATATGGCTCTTCTGCCCCTGGATACAGCCATGCCTGCAGGCAGTCCTGCCTCAGCACCTTTCATGTGTAAGAGCCAACACAGTCCGTGTACTGCTAAAGTGTGTGTGTGTAAGATTTTCTGTTATTTCAAGCCAAGAGTCCTAATGGATGCACGTTCACACACTTGAAAGGGTGAGACTGTAATGAACACGTTCCTTGTCACTTGGCAACAGTTTGTGCGTGAGTTCTGTGGGCATTAGCTTTGGGGAGGGCTCTGGCTCCTTCTGCTCACGCGCTCTGATTAGGGAAGATGGTTCGTCTTTTCCTTTGCTTGTTTCTGCAGCCCCAGAAGAAACGATCCCTGGACAAGTTTGACTAGCCCAACAGTCATCTTTTAAAAGGAACGTCCTTTATTGTGCAAGGGGGGACCACAGCATGGGGCTGGGTGGGGTGCATGGCCGTGGAGCCCGGCTGGGCAGGGAGCAGGCACGGGGCTGGACAGGGCTGCACACAGAAGTGAGGGAGGGTGTTCTTGGTGGAATCCCTGGAGGGTTTGCGGAGGGGAGAGGGAGAGCTGAGCAGAGGGCCCCGAACCCACAGGTCTGAGTCCCCATGCAGGCGAGACCCCTCTTGGCCCTGTGCACAGGGGCGGGGATCGGGGAAGGGACAGTACAGGAGGTAGGGGGCAGGCCTGGGCTCTGAAAGGCAGCTCAGGGGCCGGGGTGGGAGCTCCGTCCGCCTCCCAGGCCCCCCTGTGTAGCTCAGGCCGTGGACAAGCCCATGGGCCCAGCTCCAGGGTGGCACCACTCACCTGCGTGGAGCTGACGGCCCTAATCTCTGAAACTCTGGCAGTGATCTGAGGGGGCACAGTGATCTGGAGTGAGCCCCTGCCCGCTGGGTGGCCGCTGACCAGAGGGGACCCGAGGGTGTGGGAGAGCAGGGGGCCTCACTGTCATTGTCCAGAACCACAATCTGATCCTTGTGCAGGCCGAGGTCTTCACAGACGGACTCGAATGTCTGCAGGAAGTCCTCCTGTGTGCTGGGGTCCCGGACTGCAGGGGCATGGGAGGTGGGGCCTGCCTGGTGCCGTGGGGGTGGGGGGCAGGGTCCTGGGGGCATCGGATGCTGTGGGGGTGTCAGGGTGCCATGCTCTCTGGGACCGAGAGGGGAGTCTGTGTCTTGGTGGGAAATTGGGGCTGGCATGGGGAGCAGAGAGAGACCCCTCTTTCCCTTGGGATGACCTAGGAGGTGGTGACTGTCCGTTCTTCCCCTTGCCCAAAGCAGCGTGGAGGTTGAGCCCTGGTCCCGGGATGGTCCTGGTGAGAGGGCCATGTGAGCGAGTGTGTGCAGATGTGAGCGGGGCCCGGGGCAGCAGTGGGTGAGGCTGAGCAGGACGAGGCTGTGGCCAGAGCCTTCAGCCGGGGTCTGGTCCCTGACCTCCCCAGACTCATTCAGCCCTCTGCTGCTGGGGGGTAGGCAACAGGCCCCTCTCCCCACATGCTGGCTAGACCTGAGTCCTGCCTGTGAGGGTGGCTCTGGGGCCTCGTTTCCTGGAGGGGACCCCACGTACCCATCAGGTTGGCCACCAGGCTGGTCATGTATTGTACTGGTTGATCATGTAGAGAATCAGGTAGCTCTTGGGCTGTACCTCCTCCAGGTAGAAATCATTGTGTCCCCAGACTGTGGAGGACACCGGGGAGATGCAGGCTGGGAGATGGGTGGCCGCCCGGTGGGGTGAATGCAGGCCCACCTGGGCAGGGGGGACACCTGTCCACTTTCTGTGCACAGGGCCAATGCACTGCACCCTGCCCAGCATCGTGGGCACTTGGATGCGGGAGTGGGCTCTGTCCCCTGCGAGCCGGGCTGGGGGCCCGAGTCCCGATGCCTGCACACCCCTTAGGCATGGAGTTGCCGGGTCCTTGCCACGGGGCTCGAAGCCCAAGAGCCAACCGCTGAGTGGGGCCATGCCCCGGGGGGGGGCATCTGACTGTCTGGGACCACGATTCCAACCTGCAGTCCTGCT